GGGCACTGTCGTTGGTAGGAAATATCAGCAGCCTTAGTAAAGTTGTGTCTTGTTATACCATGGTCTGTACCATTACATAACCACATTACATTGTAGCTTTTTCTTTTATTCATGTGAATCGGTGTGAATGGACCAACACATTCACCTTCATATTAGAATGTAAACACAATAATGAGACTTCATGAACGCTGATCTCTTTTATTCACAAATGAATTATATTCTAGATAAAAAAAACTTAACAAATAAGGAGAAAACATTTGAACACCAACAGTTCAACGTTAGCTAAATTAAGTTCAAAGACAAAAAGTGTCTGTTTTGAAACTCCTCGAGTTTCAAAAAGGTCGGTGACCCCTGTTATAAACTATCAAAGTGCTTCACCACTTCTACAACCTAACCCCACCCTTGGCCCCACCCAGACCAACTGACACAGTACTGTGCCAAATGAAAATAACACTGGGTGAAAGTATGACCATGAGCAGCAGTCATCTAATCTAATCTAATAAATACATCAAATCAAACTGGATCAAACTGGATCAAACTGGATCAAACTGGATCTACCGCTCAGGTTCCCTTTAACTGAGAATCCATCAGTGAACAAAGAAAGTTGAAAAGGTTGAAGATGGTTTTGTTTCACTTTAACTAACTGTACAGTTATCTCTGTGTGTTTGTTTGTTTGTTTATTTTAGTATCATTAGCTCTTTTATTAGCATTTAACTATTAGCTTCATAAACATAAAGTTATGCTGTAAGAGTATTTCCTCCTCATTGTCAACAAACTGCTGCACAGTATGTAAGTGAATTCATTTACATTTCTTTTGTGTTGTTGATAAAAACACATCCAGGTTCAAATAGTCCTGATCCACATCATCATTGTTGGTTCAACCTCCACCAACACCAGAGGTTCACCATCATCACCCATTAACTGGGCCATGAACAGACACCCACCTAATGGTAATGTTATGGTTAATGTAAGAACAGGTTCTGCTGTGTGTGTATTTGTGTGTGTGTGTGGACATGGAGATGGAGGGCCACCATAACACACACACGCAGTTACATATCGTAGAGTTTGTTTTACGCTGAACTGCCACTCAGCCATGAAACTTAAACCACCAACTGCTGCAGTTTCACATGTTCTGATAACAAAGTCAACAACAGAAGAAAATGTCTTCCCTGCCTCAAACCCAGGTCCAGACTAACACACAGAGGTTCTGTCAGAACTTTGAACAAACCCGTGCTTCTATTGTTCACTCGTATATACATACATACGTATAACATTTGTTTCTGTTTGTCCTACTTCAGTGACTTATCTGTAAAACACAACAGGAGCAGTGGCTCATGTAAGGATTCAAACTGACAACCCCCAACGGTATGTTTCAGGTTTATATTTTTAACTGTTGATGGGACAGTGGGTCACATTTTAGAGTGCCTTATCTCGCTGTGGGCCGACCAGTGACCAGTGACCAGTAACCAGTGACCAGTGACCAGTGACCAGTGACCAGTGACCAGTGACCAGTGCTGTTACTCTCTCCTGGCCTGTAGCCTGTGACTCTCTGCTCAACATCGTATTTCTAATTTAAATCTTCAGCCTGTTTTGGTCCTGCCACTCAAGTTTCAACCTTTCCTAGGTTTAGATGCCGACCTGTCTGTTTGAGTCTGACCGTCAGTAGTGACACTGGACACTCACAACTGGTCATTTTCTTCAGCTGCAGAGATCCCAAAGGAAGTGGTGCAGAATAAGAGGAATGCACCTTTAAGGATTTGGTTATGAAAGGGTGTTGAAGTGGCTTCATTCAGCTCCCTCCTCTTCTTTCTGTGCCCACCCTGCCCCCCAGCACCCTGTTACAATGAGACCCCCCTCCCCTCTGAGCCCAAAACACACGTACATGAACACACACCCTTGCCCTGCCCCCTGCAGCT